GCTCACCACCATGCCCGGCTAATTTTTTGTATTTTTCATAGAGATGGGGTTTCACCGTGTTAGCCAGGATGGTCTCGATCTCCTGACCATGTGATCCACCTGCCTTGGCCTCCCAAAGTGCTGGGATTACAGGTGTGAGCCACCACGCCTGGTCACTTCTTTCTTAAGTGTATACCTTTGCTTTGCAATAAAAGCTTCTTGTCTTTCACATAATTCCAACTCATGCCCAAATTCTTTCTTGTGACAGTGTCAAGAACCCAAAAAACTGGCTGGGGCTGGGGTCTCACTGGTGTCTCACAGTATCTTTTAAAACTCCCCAAGTGATTTTAATATTTGAATACTACCTTTATTTCTTCCCAAATTGAAGACTCCAGACAAGCTATAACCATGTTTTCAATCTCTTATAAGCCTAGTGCCTAGCCCTATATAGGAATAAATACATAGAGCTTGAGCAATAACTTCTCTCACAATATTTTTTCAGTCACTAATGAATTCTTTAGAAAATAACTCCTGAGAGTAGCAAAAACTGCTTAATTCAAGTTGACCCATTTTAATATTTTTAATATTTCTACCAGCAAGTTTAGTTTATGTTTCTAAATATATCCGTCTTTGACAAACCATCTTCTATCACACTGAGAGAGGAAGGGAAGCTATCCCTCCAGAACTGCTATTTTTAAATGGTTTGGATATATCTTATTTATTTAGCAGTATCCTAATTAGCAAGTTAGTTGCTTTCAAAAGTAATCATTGCCTGAAATGGGGATAACATGGGTAATTACCTAGTAGTGTACCTGGTCCATGCTGTCAACAAAAAGAGTCAAACTCTTTTTGACTGTTCCATCAGTCTTAAGGGCTCTGTTTCAATGTTAATGCTGGTCAGCTGTGCCTGGATTCCAATAGGAGGAGGGTATAATGAGGCATGTCCGACCCCTACTTCCCATCATGGCCCGAACTTGTTTTTTAGGTTAACTTTGGAATGCCCTTGGCCAAGGGGAGGGCCCATCAGTCTATTGCATGGCTTGAGTTTTGGTTTACAATGCTGTATGCTCAGTAATGTCAGCTGTTATCATTGTGTACTTCCTCTTTCAGGAAGGGCTGCCTTATTAAGTCACCTCACAGGAGGGCATCTGTAGATAACACTAAAAGAGGAAATTAGATGACTTGCCAGGTGCTTTCTTTCATTTATGCACAGTCCATGAGATTTCCTGACCTCTTTCATCACAAACAAAGAGGTGTGTGTAGCTTTAGAAATTTAATGGACATGCTACCCATGTCATAAAGAAGAAACTGTTTCAGTTGTTTATCTCTTCTCACTCCATTTGGCTACTGCTATATAGGGCCTGCTTTACTAGACCCTTGTTTTTTCCTCAAATCTCTGATTCTACATTTACATGAAAAGCCTTTAGACTGATTGCTCTGAGATTAGCCAACTGTTTCCTAGGTTTGATCACACAATTCCACTCCTACACAATTCCTTCTCTCCTAGGTCTTGTGATTCCCCATCCCCAGCTGAGTCATTCAATTGCAATCACATTTAATTGTCTTCACCTGAGTGGCTTTTTCTTTGGGCAGCCTGCCTTTGTCAAGCAATTGGAGGCAACATTTATTTATGCACATAGCATTTCTAAGGATCCATGGTACAAAGTGACTCTTCCAGATGAAGTGACAGCTCTCCACATGATAATGACAGTGACATCTAAATTAGCTGCAAGTCTCCAGAAACAGGCATATTTCAATCTAATTTTTATCCAGCTCAAGATGAACTTAAAAAGTTGTTTTCAACCCTTGGTTTCATACTTTAGTTAATACCATGCATTAATTCAATAAGGTTTTTGTTTTATAGTTATGTCTTCAGTAGTGGATTTATAATTATGACCATAACTTTTCAATGACTAGACCTTCAAAAATTGATAAAGGAGGCACAGAAGAACAAATCTTCTTGGCATAGACTAGCTAGTTGTTGAAAAATCCCTTCCCCTCTGCCTCCTGGGCACCCAGCCAGTCTACATTTCCCAGCTGCCCTTGCAGTTAAGTGTGGTCATGTGACTGCATCCTGGTCAATGGAATGCCGACAGAAGTAAAATGAGTGACTTTCAGGTTTAGCCCATTAAAAACCTCCAGGCACCATCCTCCATGTTCTTTCTCATTGGCTGCTGATAGCAGCAAGAGGCAGACAAATGTCTAGGCAGATAGGGGCAGGTCCCTGGTGAAACCCCACCTTCAAGCCAAAGACAGTATAAAGCCTGAAGGCCAAGTTACAAGTCAAATCCACGGACCGGATTGAGAACCTGTCTTCCCATTTGGTGTGCTTTCCTTTGATTTATCCCCACCTTTCACTGATTTTACATATACCTACTCTTCCCTTATTGTTTTTACACTATGCCCACCTTTGATTGGTGCCTTTGTTTTAACCTTTTTTGCATACTCACACACCAACTGAATGTTGCCTTTTCCAATACTACCTATGGCCTACCCCTCCCCTATCCTGTGCCTATAAAAAACCCAGACTCAGTCACACTGGGGAAAGAGATGACCTGACTTTGCAGAAGAGATGATCTCACTTTGGGGGAGAGGTGACCTGACTTTGGGGGAGAGACCACCTGACTTTGGGGGAGAGGCCAACTGACTTCAGGGGAGAGATGACCTGATTTTGGGGGAGAGACAATCTGACTTCAGGGAAGAGACAACTCAACCTTCCCATCCCCTCTCCACTGAGAGCTGTTTTGTCACTCAATAAAATTCTCTGCCCTCATCACCCCTCAACTGTCAGTGTGGCCTCATTCTTCTTGGATGTGGGACAAGAGCTCTGGACCCACTGAATGTGGGTACCCAGAAAGGCTGTGGCACTGGTCCTCTGCCCTCACCAGTGGGGGGCAGCACCCCACACAACAGAAGCAGTGGTGGGGCCAAACCAGTCCCAGAGCCATGCTGGCCCTGGAGCTGTGGGCCAGAGAGGGCCAAGAGGCTGACTAGCTGCTAACACGCTGCAGTCCATCTGACTGTGAACAGCAGAACAAAAGAGCTAATTAGCACACTGTAACACCCACTCTGGGGCTTTGGGGTCACAGGCACCCCTGCCTTGGTACCACCACATTCCCCCTGGGGCAAAATGCCTGGTCTGGCAGCAGGCCCTGTAGGGAACTTGCTTCTGTGTCAGCACTTGGAGTGGCCAGTTGGACCCTGCACTCACTCACTCATATGTTCCCTCCCACTAGGGGCTGAGGATGCAGTTGTTGCAGCTGCAGGAGTTACAGGCTGGAACACAAGACAGATGTGGCTGGGTGGGCCGTGTAGAGGGCGTGGCCCCTGCTGCAAGTCTGGCAAAGGGGCTGAGAAAAATCCTGTGTCACCGTGGCCTTGTAAGTCCTATGCTAAAAAATGCAAAGCCACAAGATGCAAGAAGCCTGGGTGCCAAAATTATCACTTGGAGGAATGTTACCCATCTATCAAGAATGCCTCTCTTGGACCTTACATGAAAAGGAAATACATTTCTATTTTCTTAAACCACTGAGATTTGTGGTTTATGTATTATTGCATACTTTTACCTTAACTGGTAAAGATAAATGCTGTACTTCTTAAAATAAAGTACCATTTTTCCACTAATAACAGGGATATTTTCATTGTTTACTATTTGGAAAATACTCCATACTAGGTGTTAATATCATCTGAAATATTTTTTAGGAATAACTCTCTGGAAAATAACTTTGTTAGTCATAACATTCTTTTTCCTGAACATGGAAGGTAAAGGAGGAAAAAACCTCAACTGAGATGCGTTATTCTAGGTAAAGTTCTAGCAATGACTCAGGTTATTCTAATAACTAAATTAACTCAGCAAATCAAGGAATTTTGGGAATTGCAACTTTCTCAGGCCTCCAAGCCATGATACAGTCGATGTTTCAACAATAGTATTCTACTTTACTACTAGGACACAACTTGGGCTTTGCTAGAAATTTTCTCAATATATTTCAGTACATATGGAACATTTTAAATTATTTATTATATAATATTTCTAGCACTTTGAGCAATTTATTTGTGATCAGGGCAATCTGGATATGAATACATTACAAACTACTAGGAATAAAAGTCTGTTTTTTTTTGTTTGTTTGTTTTTTTTTTGAGATGGAGTCTTGCTCTGTGGCCCAGGCTGGAGTGCAGTGGCCGGATCTCGGCTCACTGCAAGCTCCGCCTCCCGGGTTCACGCCATTCTCCTGCCTCAGCCTCCCGAGTAGCTGGGACTACAGGCACCCGCCACCTCGCCTGGCTAGTTTTTTTTTTGTATTTTTTAGTAGAGACGGGGTTTCACTGTGTTCGCCAGGATGGTCTTGATCTCCTGACCTCGTGATCCGCCCGTCTCGGCCTCCCAAAGTGCTGGGATTACAGGCTTGAGTCACCGCGCCCGGCCAAGTCTGTTTATGTATGATTATATAGAATTAACTAGCTGGTGTTCATCAGACATCAGCTAAGGTCATCCCCACCCACCCCTTTGTAATTGACCTGAAACTGACTTGAATTCCCAAAACTTGATTAACTCAGTTTCCTCAAATATTCCAAGCATTTTCATATGATAGTACAATTTAGTGAACGAACATTTGGAATGACAAGGGAATCTCTATACTAAAAAGCAATCATTTAAAATATGATTATTATTTATTCATATATTAAAGAAAGGACTCTGACTTTCATCTCTTCTCCTCTCATATTTCAGCTCTCTTTCAATTCCAGTTCATGTTACATACAAAGAATTTGAACTATTTCCTTGTTTCACTATCTCCTTTCAGATCATGTTCTCAGAGTTTCATTGTCTACACCTAAAGCACTCAATCAATGTAATCCTAAATAAAGCAGCTCCAAAGGCTCAGGTGACATCTGTTAAAATAACTGCCCTTACACACACACACGTGCAGTTTCCTTGGTTTATGGTTCCTGGTGATTCTGAAACACTTAGTGAGAGAAACAATGAATTTTGAACATAAGAATTAACATACACATTACACACATACCTGTGAATTGTGAATCTTATTAAAATGCAGAGTCTGAGTCCATAGTCCATTCCGGGGTGAGATCTGAGATTCTACATTTCCAACAAGCTTCCAGTTGATACCAATGCTACCAGCAGTTGGGCCACAGTTTGAGTACCTAGATTGTAGAACATTCAAATATTCATTGTAGGGTAGAAAAAAATCTCACCCATTGTAAGGGTCATGGCTGTGGCATCTATAATACAAGAGAGATTAATGAGAGAAAATCATACAAATCTGTTTAATATAAATTTTACATGACATGGGAGTCTTCAGAAATGAAGACTTAAAGAAACAGGACAAACTTTTTATAGATAGTTATGCGTAAGTATTATTGGGGGATAAAAGGGTACGATCTTGTGAAATTAAATCATTCAGACTTAAAGCTGTTGGAACTTTAAATTATTTTGAACTTTGAGAGGAATGTGACTATGTGGCATGAGTCATGTAGCATGCAGCTGCAACTTCTACTTTTTCCTGCAAATGATTAGGAAAGGCCTTGTGGCACCAGAGATAAGACCCCCTTCAGATCATCACCCCTCCTCGCAGAAAGTTAAAGCAACCTACCTTGGAATGTAGCAAACTATAACCAACCAAATTGCTATACCATATATATTGACCTCGTATGGAAAATGTTGCAACTCTGTTAACTGCCTATGTAAGTGAAACCTTAACTTCCCCACTTTAGAACGCTGACCCATTCTTTCATCGTCAGTGTTTCTGGGTGTCTATCCTCAAGCTTTGCACTCAAATAAACTCGAATAAGCACAGTTGATTATATTTTCTGAGTCTCATTATTTAAGGTTGACAATCTAATGGTAATAAACTAGGGGGAATTTAGCAAGGCATGTTTGTTCAGATTCTTTTTCGTGTTCCCGTGTCTTCAGAGATAGGGACATTCCTTTCCTCAGGTATAGAAAGGACACCTCTGGAATGAAGGTTTTATGGCCTACTTTAGAGGAAGGTCAGATAATTCTTTTATGGCCTGCTTCAGGGGAGAACAGTGAAAGAACACTAAGAGTAACCTTCCTGCTTCTGCTATTATTTTAAATGCCAAGGTGCCATTTTTGGGGGTAGCATATCCTGAACCCCATAACTATCCATTTGCTGGTATTGTTCTGGTCACCTACGAATCACCTGGAGAAGAAGAGTGATTAGAAATACAGCCAACTGGACCCTCTTCCTTAAAAGTTCTGATTAGGTACAACTCTTTAGAAAACTCTTTTGATGAACCTAACGTTGGGAACCTCTGATTAAGGCTTCTGCTCCTCAAAGTGGGATCCTCAAACAAGAAGGACTAGCAGCCTTCAGGAGCTTCATAGATATGTAGAATCTTGGGTCTTACCCCAGCCTTACTGAATAATAATTTACATTTTAACAAGAATCTCAGTTGATTTGTATGTACATTGAAATTTGAGAAGCGCTACACTAGAATATCATAACAGTACAGTGGAAAGAGAGAACTGGGGATATTTTAAGTGCAAAACATTAACATCATCATAGCCAATACTCACTGGAGAGTCAGAAAGTACGTTATATTAGTAGGCTGTTTTACAATTCAAATTGTTTTCAGACATGTTTTTCTTATTCAGTTTAATCAGTATCTCTCAACATCCTCTGGGAGATAGGTATTATTCTCCTACTTTTATAAATAAATCTTGACTTATTACTGAGGTTAGAAACTAAGTTGTTTTTGCTTTTTGTTTGTTTTTGAAACAGGGTCTTGCTCTGTCACCCAGGCTGGAATTCAGGGATGTGAACATGGCTCACTGCAGCCTTGAACTCGTGGGCTCAAGTGATTCTTCCACCTCAACCTCTCCAGTAGCTAGGACCACAGGCACACGACACCATGCCCGGCTAATTTTTAAAATTTTCTGTAGAGACGGGGTTTCATCATGTTGCCCAGGCTGGTCTCGAACTCCTGGTCTCAAGGGATCCACCCACCTCGGCCTCCCAATGTACTGGGATTACAGGTGTGAGCCACTGCACCCGGCTGAAACTAAGTTTTACTCAACTTGGTAAGACTCATACATTTTAAAAGCTAACATTTAGTATCAAAGGAAGAATCCTTAAAACAGAACTTGAATCTTAAGACAGTCTCTCGGTCAATCAGTTAGTACATGTTTATGTGAAGAGGAAATTTACTTGCTCGTCCTGAACTTATTTAATGATGTTAAGCCTACTAAGTTGTAAATTAAGCAAGTTTGGAAATGGAAGCTGTCATGCAGTTGAGGCTAGATATATTGTTACAGTTTTTGTGATACAAATATATTTTTCATGCAATTATGCACAAAGCTTTATATTCAGTGTCATGTTTCTTCAGACAATTGTTGAAGCTTACTCTCAGCTACACTATTCTTCACTTACTCAAAAAACATTTCTTAAATACCAACTATAAACTGTCTAGGTTTTGGAGGTACAATATTGAGTGAGAAACAGTTTTGATAATTGAGGAGTTTATAGGCCTAGACAGAGGGCGACTAACTGCTGTGAGGAAGGGGATAGGAGAATCTTCAAAGACAAGGTTATATCTCCTAGAGGTCTGAAAAGACCAAGTGAGAGCGGAACAGGAATAAATGAAGGAAGGGCATCCCAAATTGAGGGAATAACAGGGTCTGAAGACATAAGGTTCTGAATGAACTGGAAATGTTTGGGGAGTAATGATTCATTTTGACCAGAGTTTCAGGGAAAAGGGGGCGCATGGATTAGGAGGATGAGGAGGTAGCTTGGGAACAAACTATGGAGCCTTAGATAATATTCTATAGATCCTGAACATTTATTTTCTGTGCGTGCCTGTGTGTGTGCATATATATGTGTGTGTGTGTATATATATGTGTGTGTGTGTGTATATATATATATAGTGAGATCAACAAACAGAAAATAACAGATAATAGATTTTAAGCAGGGTTGTGAGTGACCTCTAATTACGTTTAGGTTTAGGGGAAATAATTCTAGGCACAGCATGGAGGATGGCCTAGAATAGACAGAATATTCTGAAAGTACAGAGGCTGGTTTGGAGGTGGTTGTTTAAGTGTTTAAGTAGAGGAGGTGCCTGATTTGGGAGATGTTTCTGGGACAGAATCAGGACTTGTTGCTTACTTGGGTGTAGGGAAAAGGAGAAGTTAAAGATACTGATATTTTTATCTGGGGACTCTGGGCAGATGATGATACCACTAGCTGAGAGACGACATTTAGAAAGAAGAGCAAGGTGGGATGAAGCTAAAAAGGTTGGCCCTTAACATGTTGTCATAAAAGTGCCTGTGAAATAGACAGGGAGAACAGGAACCAAAGAAGCTATGGCTTTCAGTCTCAACATGTCTTCTTATTAATGGTCCTATTAATTGCAAACGGGGAAAATGTACCTTTACAGTGGACAAACATGGAGGACACCACCTTAACCAAATGATTAATCAATACCAAAGTGATGTTGTGTGCCTCCTGATACAATACACTGATAAGGACACAACTTCACTTATAAAGTTCTTCTATCAAAAATCCATAACCTGATTCTAATCAAGAGAAAACTTCAGAAAACCCCAAACAAAAGTACTTGGTACAAAACAACTGTCCTGTATTATTCAAAACTGTCTAATAGGACATGGCAGTGAAATGCAGTGGGTCCTGGAGTGCAGGGGCTGGTGGTGAACTGAAGAGCTCCTCTTGCAGCCCATTGTCACCTCGTGAGCTCCATAGGCTGCAAAGTCCGGCCACATCCTCGTGCCACAGCAACACTCCCCGCCCCACCCCCGCCCTCTTCCCGGCCACTTTCTGCGCCTGCGTGCATTTCAAGTTCTTGCGTGACATCCGGGCACCGCATGACTGGAGCGTTTGGCTCGCGGAGATGAACTTGGCGGTCTTCCTGTGCACCCGCATAAAACCGTCTGCCTACTCAGATGTGGCTGAGGGAGTGGACTGTTGCTGGTCATCTCTATCAGAGGTATGTGAAAGCTCCCTATCTGAAGAAATGTGGTTGGTAGCCTCAAATCCTCACCCGATTCTATAAAATAAGAAGGCTCAAAAACGTGGCTGGGCGTGGTTCCTCACTCCGGTAATCCCGGCACTTGGGGAGGCTGAGGTGGGCAGATGGCTTGAGCCTAGGAGGTCCAGACCAGCCTGGGTAACATGGCGAAACCCCATCTCTACAAAAAATACAAAAATTAGACAGGCGTGGTGGTGTGTGCCTGTAGTCCCAGGTACTGGGGAGGCTGGGCTGGGAGGGTCACTTAAGTCCGGGAGGCGGAGGCTGCAGTGAGCCAAGATGGCGCTGATGTCCTACTTCAGCCTGGGTGACAGAGCGAGACTCTGTCTTAAAACGAAACGGAAACCTTTCTGTCACTTGCACGCATTTAGTTTACATCGTACATTAGAAAGGAGGGCAAGATAGCTGCCAGTCACAGTATTAACTGCTCCAGCTTTTAGCACCAGGTGAACTATACTAGGATGTTTCAGACTCAAAGTATGCCACATTTTTCGTCAGACCTATGTAGTCTGGGAGCCTGAGAGAAAGCATATGAGACAGACACTAGAGATCCAATATATGGATTACCGACATGTTGAAAAGAAAACTCTGGGATAAAGGGAAAATAAGAAATATTTGAAGAAGAGAATAAAGTTTTCTTGAGCTCAAGAAAAATGTTTCATCTTCCTATGAAAAGGCCCTGTCATGGTCAAAGGAAAATTGACAATAATTGCCCAGTACCTGAATGGGAACAATAACGTTTTAAATTGGAAAGGAAAAGAATGCCACATTTCCAGAAAAAAGGAAAGATTTTCCACAAAGTACATAAACAGACTTTGTCTGAGTGTCACATGATACAGGATACACGAAGCAACATATATATATTTTGAAAGAGAAGGCTGTGTGTGACTCAGTAATTCTATATCAAGTCACATGTGAAAGCCACAGAAATAATTCTTGTCTATATATGGGCCCTGAAAAAGTTTATTCACAGATGTACTATACATGACCAAAAGATTAATCAAAATAAAGACTTTCTTTTCTTTTTTCTTTTTCTTTTTTTTTTTTTGAGATGGAATCTTGGTCTGTTGCCCAGTCTGGAGTACAGTGGTGCCATCTCGGCTCACTGCAACCTCTGCCTCCCGGGTTCAAGTGATCCT